AGGCCACCCACGGGGAAGCAGCTCGGGCAGCCCCATCTGGGTTTTCCAGGCAGTGCTGTGTCCTGTGGGAGTGAGTGGCTGGTGGTGCTGCCCTGAACCACGTTGCCCTTGGCAGGGTCGGGCTCTCTGGCGTGGCAGAGCTGGGAGGTGAAGGGTTGATGCTGGAAAAGCATTCGTGTGTGACAGTGGCTGGAATGTTGTGCTGGTGAGCTGGGAGTGCTGGAGGAAAAGGGCAAAAATCCCACAGTAACACCTTAGCATGACCTGTGAGAGGTGATGAGGCTGCTGCTGGAGATGCTGGGTGCAGTTCTTTCTAAATTTGGCTGTGTTTGGGCAGGTAGGGACGGTCTGACACACAAGATTTGGTTTTCCATCATCTAGCTGGGAAGCACCAGCCCTGATGAAGCTGCTGCTCAGTGCCAAGGCAGTTCCATGGTTGCCATGGTTACCACATGCTTCTTTTCACCATTTTCCTCACCTCAGCCGGGGTGCACCGGCATTCCCAACCCCGAATCCCCCCTGACCTCAGCCGGGGTGCACCGGCATTCCCAACCCCAAATCCCCCCTGACCTCAGCCGGGGTGCACTGGCATTCCCAGCTCCAATTCCCCTGGGCTCCAGCTGGGTGCAGCAGCATCTCCAATTCCCAATCCCCCCTGGACCTCAGCTCATTTCCTGATACCAGTTTGGATATCCCGCTGGTGTCACCTCAGGGCAACTTGTGCCAACCCTGATCTCGGGCACCTTTTTGTTGTGGATCCCACCCCGTTGCTCCCTGTGGATCCGATCATTCTGCTCTTTGTGGATCCAATCCCCCCGCTCCCTGTGGATCCAATCCTTCTGCTCTTTGTGGATCCAATCCCCCCGCTCCCTGTGGATCCAATCCTTCTGTTCTCTGCGGATCTGCTCCCGGTGGATGCCGTGCCCGCTGCCCGTGGCTTTGTCCCGGTAAAAATCCCGGGCACGGGAAGCGCAGCGCTCCTCGCCATGGGAACAGGATTGTGTCAGGGCTTTTCTTTCCAGCTGCAGAGCTGGATGAGCGACTCCCTCGGGACGGGAGGAAGGGAGAAGGGAATATTCTCTTCCCTGGGGCGCTTTGGGACTGCCACTTCCCTCATCCAGCCCTGGTTTGGTGTTTGCTCGCGGCTCCAAGGCTGCCATGGGCCCGACACGGTGGGAACGGCGATGGGTCCCATGGCAGGCACAGCGAGGGTCTGTGCTGGGACACCCATGGGTGCTGTGCTGGGACACCAAGGGGTCCTATGCTGGGGACACTGAGGCCTCCGGTGCTGGGAAAACTCACTGTGCTTCCCCTGTGGCACCTCCCTGCTGCTGGTATAAGATGATTTTGCAAGGAAAACCAGGAAGGAGCCAGAGGCTTGGTGTTGGATGGGCGCAGGGATGAGATCTGCCTCATTCCGGCCTGACATTCCCTCCTTTCCTGCAATCCCAGCAGAAACAAAGGCAGAGGAGGCGGCTCCTGCGCCCTGCAGGATGTGCCTGGAGCAGGGAGGATGCTCCCAGGGGCAGAACGCGGTGCCAGAACCCGGAGCAGGCGGGGGAAGGGGCTGCCTGGAGGGTTTTGTTCCCTCCCAGCCCCGGCTAAGGCACAGCAGCACCAGAGGAAGAGATGTGGCACCACTGCCCCATCCTCGACCACTCCTGTCCCCAGCCCTGGCCCGCAGCACCGGAGGAGTTGCTCTGGGATTTGGGAACCTCATCAGAGCAGTGCCCGGGGCGGGGGCTGCCCTTGGCTCCCCAGAAGGTGCCAGGGCTGCCAAGCAGGTTTGGGCTCAGCTGCTGCAGGCTCTGGGCAATTGCAGGGACTGGGAAAGATCCCAACAAACAGCACAGCAAGGTGGGGACCCCAGAGAAAGCCCGTGGTGCTGTGGGAGGAGTGTGGGATGTGCAGGAGGCAGGAGGGAGGCTCATGCTGATGTGGGTGAAGGTGGGAGGGCAGCACAGCTCCTCCTGTCACAGCTATCCATGGCTTTTCCATGGCTTTTCCATGGCTTTTCCATGGCTTTTCCATGGCATTTCCATGTGGCGCTATCCCTGCTGTGCTGCTGGACAGGCAGAACTTCTGGGAAATCAGATTTGCATTAACAGGATGTTCAGTCCTACAACCTCTGCCCTTGGAAGCTTTAAAAAATAGGTGATAAAAACATCAGTCATGTGTGGGGGGATTGCTTGAATCAGCTCCAGGTGATCCCTGAGGTCCCTCCAGCCTCTGGTGATTCACAATTTCCCATGGCTGCACCTGGACACACAAACAGCTCCGTTTTAGAGCGGATATTTGCACTTCCTATGGAAGTGATGGCACTTTTGCCAAATTGGGTCATTATGGCCACAGCCCTTCTCACAGCCAGATCCAGGTGACCAAAATTAGGGCTCAGCCAGAGAAAACAGCCACGGGAGCTGGAACTCACACAGGAGTGAGCTCTGCATCTCCTACGTGGTGTTGCCTGTTTGGGGCCCCTGGGCAGGGCCCTTCTGCTGCAGCAGGTTTGCTCTAAGGATGTAAATCCTGGGCTGTTGCAGTGCTTAATTAACTGCCCTAATGCAATCTGCCAGGTGAGCTGCCTGCCTGGCTGCTCCCAGCACTGCTCCCAGCCCGTGGGACGTGCAGCGATGTCCCTGAGCCCCTTGGGCTGGTGACACAGGGCAGCTGTGGCCCCTGTGTGCAGCCTGATGATGGAATATCCAGGAGGATTGTCACATCCACAGCTGATGCCATGTCTGATGCCCTGAGTCAGGGCACTGGAGCACTGAACCCTCCCTGCAGCAGCAGCACTGGCACCAGAGCACACAGTGTCCATTTGGCCCAGCTCTCTCCTTGTGTCACTCTCACTGCCAAGCAAAGGCATCAACGCGCCCCAGGGAGACAGAAATCAAACTTTTGGGACACAACCAAGCAGGGCTGTGCTCGCCATTCCCTGTCACAGGAGCTCCTCTGCTGCCAGCAGCCTTTGATCCTGCTGGGACTCAAATTCCCCCAAAGCAGCAAAGGCTCTCGGTGCTATTTTCACAACACCCGACCTGCCTGATTTTGTGTGGAGTCAAATCCCAGTGAATCCCGGTGGGTGTTTGTTCCTCAAGGTTTGCAGCGGGGTTGGTGTTGGCTGTCCAGCATCTCAGGCTGGAAAATGGCTCTCTGCATCAAGGTCACTTTATCCGCCCTCATCACAGACCAGAAATGCTCACATTAATGGGTCTCTAATTTAATCAAAATGCTGTGCCTGTGATTGCAGGGCTGGGATCTTTTCCTCTCTTGAAGGGCAAAAATCAATTTGCAGTAACAGCAGATGGGTCTGCTCCCTTCTCCAGGCCTAGGAAAGTGAGTAAATTTTTTCATAGTATGAAAATAATAATATTGGCCTGGTGTGTCATCAATATTGGGGTCTTTTATGTGCTTTTGAACACTTTGGTGGCAGCATTCTGTCCTTGTGGCCCTGTGAGCTCAGAAAATCCACAGCTGTGGTGTCCCTGGGTTTCGTAATTACTGTATTACCTATGTGCAAACTGCCCTTTCCCTGCAGATCCCAAAGGGATCATGACAAATCAGAGAGGAAAAGCCTAATTTCCATGTTCTGGGACGCAGGGAGTGGGTGATCAGTGCTCCACAGAGCAATCACAGGCAGGTTTCTTTGCATTTCCCTGTGGTTTGGAAATCGGTCACCAAGTAGTTGTGATTTTTGTACTGCAGTGATTTTCTTCTGTGCGGACTGGCTCTGACTGGAAATACTGGGAGGGAGGGAGGAAGGAGGAGAGGGAAGGGAAGCAGAGGGAAAGGAAAAAGGAAAGGAAAGGAAAGGAAAGGAAAGGAAAGGAAAGGAAAGGAAAGGAAAGGAAAGGAAAGGAAAGGAAAGGAAAGGAAAGGAAAGGAAAGGAAAGGAAAGGAAAGGAAAGGAAAGGAAAGGAAAGGAAAGGAAAGGAAAGGAAAGGAAAGGAAAGGAAAGGAAAGGAAAGGAAAGGAAAGGAAAGGAAAGGAAAGGAAAGGAAAGGAAAGGAAAGGAAAGGAAAGGAAAGGAAAGGAAAGGAAAGGAAAGGAAAGGAAAGGAAAGGAAAGGAAAGGCCAATGTTTCCAAACACTTTTCTAGGTGAGATTGTAATGTACGGCACACGGAACGTTTTTATTTTGAGGGCTTTCAAAGCTGTGTAGCCTCTCGATGAGACATGTCTTTGGCTTTGCCAGTTTTCTCTTTCAATACCAAGTTTTTCCTGCTGAAGGCATTCCCACTTTTCTCAAACCTCAGGATGGGCTTTTAAAGTTTTCGATCTTTGGGGAAACAGGTTGAGCGAAGTTTTTTTGGGTTTTGTTTTTTTTTATTAAGAAAACTTTGTTGCTTTGACTACTTCGATCACCTAGGGCAACCTGCAAAGAGGGAGCTGAAGGGAATCATCCCCCCACGGGACACAGAGGAAGGCGGACGGCTCGGGGGCACGGAACGGGCTCCCTCAGCGGGGCGGTGACCGCTGTGGCGGCGGCGGGAGGAGCCGCCGGGGCCCGGCCGGGGGCAGCGCTCGGCGCCCAAGATGGCGGCGGCCCCTGAGGCGGCCCCTTTGTCTGCGGCCGCCGCCGCAGTGCGAGAGGGCGCGAAACTGGGCCAGCCTGGCCACGCCCCCTCCGCCAGGGGGGCGGTGCGGCCGCGCGCCCCCCGGCCAATCAGCGCCCTCCACTTCCTTCCCTCTCACAGGGGCGCTCCCGCCCGCCTCCGCGCGCGCAGCCAATGGGCGCCGTCTGCCGCGTCCCCGCCCCCCCGTCTCGGTGGAGGGGGCGGGGCCACGGCGTGGTTTTGTTTGCGCGCCCCTAGTTTCGCCCCCGCCGCGGTTCATTAATATTAATGAATCCCACCCAATCAGGTGGTGAAGCGGCGGCGGCGCTTTGGTGACGCGTCGCCCCTCCTTGCAGCGGGGTTCATCTGCATATTCATAAGATAGGCGGGATGAGGCGCGGGCGTTTATAAGGCGCCGCCCCGCCAGGCTCGCCGTACATTTCGCTGAAGCTTTGAAGTGTTGTGGGGACCTCGCGCCGCCCGGGTATCGGTGAGCGCAGTCGCGCGGGGCGTCCGCGACCGCACCGGGCGGGGTGGTCCGCGGTGAGCGGAGCCGTGTCCTAGGGGCAGAGCTCGGGGTCCCGCGGGAGGCTGGGCGGCGGCTCCCGGCCCGCCGATCGGTGCCCTGTGCGGGCACGGGGGGCGCGGCGGAGCGGGCCGGTGTGGGCCGCTGGGGGAAGGGGCCGCGGCGGGGGGAAAGGCGTGCGCAGAAACAAAATGGCGACGGGCCTCGGCCGTGCAAAATGGCGGGCGGGAGGGAGGGGGCGGCGGGCGCCGCTGCCCCGGGAAGGCCGGTAGGGGGCGCGGCGGGGCGCGCATGCGCGCTGGGCACGGAGGGGCCGGGAGCGGCGGTCCCACCGGGGCTCGGCGGGACCCGGCCCGGCCGCCGGTTCCGCCCGGGCCCGGCCCCGGTGCTGCTCCCTGCCGCTGGCATCAGCCTCCCGGAGCCCTGGCTGGGCCCTCGCTCCCGCCCGCCCTGAGGGAGACCCGTTGTGAGGCTGGGAGACCACATAAGGCGCATAAGTGGTCCGGGAGTTTGAGGTCACATCGGTGGTGTTATAGGTAGTGTTAGAAGGATTTAATGTTTGAGACCTGGCGGGGATTATGTGGATTTTTTTTTTGAGTGGCTGACTCGGTTGTGTTGGTTTGGCAGGTCAGAATGGCATCAGATGAGGGAAAGCTCTTTGTCGGCGGGCTCAGTTTCGACACCAATGAGCAGTCATTGGAGCAAGTCTTCTCTAAATACGGACAGATTTCTGAAGGTGAGACTGCAGAGCCACGATGGGATAGTTTCCTTTAGTCTGTTTAATTTCCCTGGTGCTGATGGGTTTTTATTTCCTGTATCTCCTTTTCATAGTCGTGGTGGTGAAAGACAGAGAGACTCAGAGATCCAGAGGTTTTGGCTTTGTTACTTTTGAAAATATCGATGATGCGAAAGATGCAATGATGGCCATGAATGGAAAGGTGAGGAGGTTTTGGAGTTGATTTTTTATTTCCCATAATGAAGGAGGAGAATCAGAGATGTGCTGCTGTTCAGGCTGTGTGGAAAACCAGATAAATGCCAGCGTCTTAAATGAGCTGATATGGATGTAAAAAATCTGGCTATATGGATTAATACATAGAAGAACATATATATATATATATATATATATATGTGTGTATATATATATATATATATACATATACATACTAGGAATACACATTGATAAAGTTCCATTATGGGACTTGGATGACTGAGGTATGACTTTATAGGTATTCCTGTAAATGAAATTAATATATCAGTTTTTTTGCCTGCTTGGTTTAATTGCGGCATGAAATAGATGGTTATTTCTTGAGCGGTGAGTCCTGGCACTGCTCAGCCAACTGTGAAGGCGTGCAACTCCTTCTACATGTGTGTGCTATTTAAATGTTTCAGTTTGGCTAACTGTGGTTGTGTTTTAGTCTGTAGATGGGCGTCAGATCCGAGTCGACCAGGCTGGGAAATCATCTGAGAACAGATCCCGTGGCTACAGAGGGGGGTCCTCGGGGGGCCGGGGCTTCTTCCGCGGGGGCCGAGGCCGGGGCCGTGGCTTCTCCAGAGGTGAGTGCGTGGGGATCAGTCATAATGTGTGGATGGGGGGATGTCTCTTGTCAGAATGGTTAAAAAAACCCTCGTTTCCATGTATTTCCAAGGAGGTGGAGACAGAGGCTATGGTGGCAGCAGATTCGACTCCAGAAGCGGAGGCTATAACGGCTCCAGAGACTACTATAATAGCAGGTAAGGGCTCTGCCAGCACCAGGGCTCGTGGGCAAGCTGTGGTGGAGTTCAACCCAGCAGAGCAGGAGTTGAGCAGCTGTAAATCGGGTGCTGTTTGTCCCGCAGGAGTCAAGGTGGCTATGGAGACAGGAACTCAGGAGGCTCCTACAGAGACAGCTACGACAGTTACGGTAAGTCCTGCTTCGAGCGGGAGCGCTGAGTCCGTGTGCTGTAGGAGCTCTGAACCTGCTGAGCCTGAGCCTGGAGCTGGGGCAGGCTCAGGCTGTGGACGTGGTGGTGCCGGGAGATTCTAAGTTAATGCATGTGCAGGAGTTGCTCGGATCTAAGGCAAAGCAAGTGTTTTAAAAAAAAAAGAAAAAAAAAAAAAGGTGTTCCTGGAGCCCAAACTCGGCTGCCCTAACGCACTGACCCGCGGGTGGGGGATCTCAGTAGCCAAGTAGCCGTAGCCTCGGAATATTGCAAAGGGAGTAAAATGCTGGAACTTGTCTTTGCTTCAGTGCCTTTACAATTGTGCCTGCTTCTTGTCCTCAGCTACACACAACGAGTAAAAATCCTTCCTGACTCAAGATCGTCCTTCCAATGGCTGTATTTATAAAGATTTTTGGAGCTTCGCTGAAATGGTTATTGTGTAGTACATCTACTTGTATTTTCACTTTTGTAGTATTATCAGTTCTGATCTTGTCATACACAGCCTGGCAGCTTCTGAAACGAGACTGTCTGATTAGACTGTCTCAGAGAAAGCTCTGCTTTCAAGTGGTTTTAATCTTTTTTGAAAGCACTTCAGATTTTATTTTACTCTCCATGAATGAGCCAAGGTGTTCGTTTTTGGTTGGTTTTTTTTCCTAAGTTGGGGCCCCAATTCAGTTTCTTTTGAGCTAGCAAGGACCTTGTACCAATGTTCACTGGAAGCTGAACAAGCTGTGGACTTTAAATTCTTCTATTTTTTTTTTTTTTTTCAAGTGCATTACCCTTGTCTTTTGTAACATTCCTTTAGTGTAGCAAGGTAGGAATGCAGCTTGGGTTCCGTTGGAAGGCAAACCACCTTGATATATCTAAAGAGAAACGTGCTTGTATGTTCCACTCGCATAACGGTATTTTTACTGTTGTAATGATGTAAATGACCCAGAACTAGACTTGCAAACTTACCATAAAGAGGTTCTTGAAAATGTTTATTTATATTGTCCTTTTTTACTGGAAGAAATATGCATATTCCATTGCTGTTGTATTTGAAGTGGTAAAGGATTCCTGTATACAGTTTTCTTTGGCTTTACGAAGCCTATTAAAGGACCGTCTGAAATGAACTCTGCTCCTGACATTTACATTTCATTGCACAACACAACCCTTGGAGATGAAGAACAGTCATGGGAGCGAGAGGAGGAGATTAGGGACAGTGGCAGAGCTGGCCAGACGATTGCCCGGGCAATTTAAATCCTGGAATTTAAATCCTAAAATCGGTCTTGACATCTGAATTGGCCAAGAAATTTCACATAAAGTAGTCAAAACTTGTCTGTAGAGGCTGGAAGTACAAACCTGAGGGTATGCTAGGAGCGAAGTGAAGTTGGAATGTTAGGAAGGCTAATGGATGTTTCCTCCAAAGCTGCTGTAGCCTACACTGGGAAGCTGTAGAGAAGAGCCAAGTGCTGTAGTCCCTGGGCTGTTCCCTGCGTGCCGAGCGCGTGTGTGATGTAGGGGAATGCCGGGCTTAGCTTAGCTGTGTCATTGCTTACAAGTTCTAAGAATTCTTTGCTAGCAAATGGAAACTGCAGTGTCCTTGGAGAAAAGAAGTGTTGTGCCTCCAACAGAAACCTCTGAGACGAGAGCTGCTCTCTTGGCTAGTTCATATGTGGAAATAGTCCTGTAATTCGAGGTAACTCCTTTTGCTCATGTCCGCATCCTTCCTCTTGTTGAGAGCTCATTTGAAAGTCTAATGTACCTGTGAAATATTCCTTTTGACAATTTTGGTCAGCTACTGGAAAAACGTTAACCCATGCCGTATGCAACCTTTGGCTTGTGGCACACCTTGAGTTCCACAGATCAGAGTTGGGCATGCAGCCGTGTCTTGCTGTAGGTACGGAAGCAAGATTGGAACGAACTCCCTGACTCGATATGTGTTCATCTATTGAGACTCTTCTAGACTTCATTAAGTTGCTCACTTTAATTGTAGCTTTCTTTGCCATCCTACTTGTTGCCATTAACTTTTTCCCATGGCCCACACTTCCTAAGCAGCCATGTCCAAGTGTTAACTCTCTGCTTAGGGGATCCAATCCATGGGCTGGCTGAGCACGGGCAGCAGCCGGCCCGGAACAGTTTTCCCAGACTGTGCTTTGTGGTGTGATGGGTTCAGCGATGGCTTGTGAGACCCTCGTGCGCTGTGAGCTGTGTGGGGAGGTTGGGGGCGAGAGCAGCCTCTGCCCTGGGCCTTTGTTAATGCCTCTCTGCTTTAGCAGGCTGAAGGGACCCGGCACACGCCTCGGAGGCCCAGCGGATCCTGAGCGACCAGAGCTGCGTTCCAGGGATGCTGCAGCAAGTTTGCCAACCAGGTAATGTCCCTTTCATGGTTTTTTGTTGTTTTTTTTTTTTCCTTTGGCTGTGTCCCTGTTCTGTAGCCCTGAGCTCTTAAGTGGTGCAGTAACCCCGTTCCTTTCCTGTATCTTTATCCACCTTCCAATTCTCTTGTCTCCATTTCGTTTCAGCACTGAGACACTTCAGAGAAGACAGAAGGACAGACACTGGAGTGGAGAGATGAAGAGCACAGAGCAGTGGTGTTGCTCATTTTTACATGAACCAAATCAATCAAGACAGAATAAAACACTGAAATGTGGGAAAAAAAAACAAATCTCTGTGGTACTTTTTGTGGGAAGCAGAATGTTTTTGGCAAAAGTATCTAGTGCACAGCCCAGTTCAGAGCACAGAGCAAAAACCATCGTTCTGGTGCTCGGAGGTGGACACGCTCTGCCCCAAGCAGATTGATGTGTGATCCTCGTAGAAAATGAGGTCTTGTTGCAAGTAAAATCCCAAAAAGGTGGAAGCTCGGTAATGAGGAGGATTAATAAAATGTTGGGAGAGGCTGACAGGCTGAATGTGTTTCTGGCAGGAGATTGCAGGCTGAGAGCAGTGAGATTTTTTGATCTCAGCTGCTCCTGCCCTTTTGTTTCTGTGTTACAGAAGAGTTGATTGCTTCATCCTGCCCTTTTCTCCCCATTTTTTTAAACCGATAAACTCAGAATTTGGTGATGGGCTCATTAGAAGCCCTGAGGACTTGCTGCCCAATTCCACTGATAGGAGTCTCCAGACATTCCTGCCTGCAGGAGGGGATTATTGAGCTCACTTCACAAAACCTACTTTTCCTCCTTTAACCTTTTTCAAATTATCTAAGAGAGCAGCATTTAAAAAAAGCAATCAGCCATGACACACTTCTGGGGATTGTATTGAGCAATTCACCAGTGAGCATTTTTGCATGTTAATGCAGGAGGATATGAAATACAATGAAGTGTGAGGAGTGTGTGAAGTCTTTGCTGATAAAAATGCAGTCAGGTGAGGCTTAAATTAATTCAGGCTGAAAATACTTACAAATAATGCTTTGTAAGAACTTCCTAAATAGGATGCTTCGATGCAGGCAGAAATAATGAAGAGGTGCAAAAATAGCCTGGTTGAAGGTGCTGTTACTGGCATTGCTAATTATGGCATTGCGTTAATGATGTCTTGCTGGAGCAAGGGGCTGGATGTGGAACCCAGTGGCGTCATCGGGAAGATGTTTGGGTGCTGTGGGTCTGACGTGAGCTTGGGTGACCCAGTTTTAGCCAAAATGCCCTTTTTTAAAAGTAAGCCCTGTGTGTCCAGGCAGCTTGAGCCATCCCTGAGGAAAAAATGGGGAAGTGGAGCAAGGCTGAAGGGCGGTGACTGAGCCCTGCGCAGCCGGAAATGTCTGCAGAGGGAAAAGGTGGGGGATAGAAATCACTGAAATGCTCAAAATGCTCCTGTTTCCAGCTGTGTTCACCATGGGCCGCCCTGAAGGGAAAAGGAGAACCATGAGGGGGAAATGGCGGCTCTGGGGGAGAAGGTCTTGCTATGAGGGGGAAGTGGCGACTCTGAAGGAGAAATTATGACCCTCGGGGAAATGGTGGCCTTGAGGGAGAAAGGACAAACCTGAGGGGGAAATGGCGGCTGTGAGGGAGGAATGAGAGTCCTCTAAGGGCAGCGGCAGCCCTGAGAGAGGAAGGACGACCCTGAGGGGGAAATGGCGGCTGTGAGGGAGGAATGAGAGTCCTCTAAGGGCAGCGGCAGCCCTGAGAGAGGAAGGACGCCCCTGAGGGGGAAATGGCGTCTCTGACGGACGGGGTGTTGCAGTGAGGGAGAAATGGCGTCCCCGCCGAGCTGCGCGCAGCCCAGCGAGGGCACAACAACAACCCTGAGGGCAAAATGTCGGCTCCGTGAGCGGGTCACGGGCGGCCCGGAACGGCGCAGCCCCGGAACCCGCGAGCGGTTCCGCGGGGCCCGGGCGGGGCCTCGCCGCGCGCACCGGCCCGGCGCCTTCCTGCGGCCGCCGCTCCCGCCGCGCTGCCCCGGCCCGGCCCGGCCATGCCGCGCCGCCTCCTCATCCTCCTCCTCTTCCTCCTCCTCGCCCCGCACCTCGGCCGCGCCGTGGCCCCCAGCGCGGGGAGCAGCGCGGGGAACAGCACGGAGCCGCCGCGGGCGGCCCCACGGAACGAGACGCAGTCGGTGTGGGAGCACGAGCCCGGGCCGAGGCTGTCGGTGGGGTCGGGGCTGCCGGTGCTGAGGCGCGCGGTTTATGTGCTCAGCGCTCTGTCGGCCCTGGCCGCGCTCTACTTCATGCTGCGGGCGGTCCGGTGAGTGCAAGGCGTCGGGGACGGGCACCCGACCGCGGCTGTGTCCGTGTTCTGTGGTCTTGTCCCCATCCTGGTGTCCCCTGACCCGGGGCTGTGTCCCTGCTCGTTCCTGTTCCCCTTGTCCCAGGCTGTGTCCCAGTTCGCCCCGGTTCCGGGGTTATCTGGCCCGGGGATGTGCCGTGCTAGTCGTGGTTCCCCCTTGTCGGGGATGTCACCCCGATTGTCCCGGTCCTGGACCCAGTCCCCCTTGCTTGCGGCAGTGTCCTTACTTGTCCCTGTCCCTGTCCCCCATGGCTGTGCCCCTGCCCGTCCTGGTCTTGCTCTGAGTCCCCCCAAAGCCGTTCAGTGTCCCCTGTCCCTTGCCTGCCCCAATCCTGCTCCTAATCCCTGGGTTTGTGTCCATTTTCCCTGAATCTCCCTCCCTTCCTCCCTCCCTCCCTCTCCCAGCCGGGATTCTGCTTCCCCACGCATTTTTTTTGGCAGCGAGTCCAAAACGTTGCTGTAAATCCCTAACACTGTTAATTACCCGAGGTAATTAGCGCTAAACCATCTCCGCTAAACCACCCGCTGGGTGGGGACAGCGGCTCACTCACTGTGCTCTCCCTGTCCCTCAGCCCCAGGTCCGAGGGCCCCAGAAACAAGCCCAAAACTCATTTCAGGTTGAAGAAGCCCCAGAGGAAGAAGTACGGGCTGCTGTCGAGCCAGGATGAGAACATTGAGCTGGGCTCCCTCGACAGTGACGAGGACACCGTGTTTGAAAGCCGGAACCTGAGGCGGTGAGGGAACATTTTGTGTGATTTTTGTGTTGCTCTTTTCCTCACAGGGAGCTGAGGCTCCTTTCCCAAAGCTGTGGGAGCTCTGGCACAGCTCCTACAAACAGATCTGCATAAATTAAAACGCCTGTGTGTGGTCTCTGTGTTGGCACACGGATTTATCTCACTTTTCCTCATTTTCTGGCCCGGGAAAGTCTCACTGACAGGGTTATTTGGACACTGCTGTGGGGTCACAGAGCTGTTGGGAGATGCAGCCCCTGAACCCAGTCTGTGTTAGACAGGGAAACAGAAATTCCTGGATTTTTTCCCTTCAGCTTAGGAATTGCTTCCAACTCATATCACAGTTCAAACTCCTAGTCCCATCAGGATATGCATCCCTGTTTTCCCAGCAAAATTCCTGGTTTGTTTTGGTTTTCTTTTTTCATTATGGGAGTTGCTTCCAGGTCTCATCAAGGTTCAAGCTCCCCATCTCACAGGGATATCCATTCCTGCTTTCCCAGCAGGATTGTGTTCACATCCTACGAGTTTGATTTCTGGGGAGGTTGTTTTAAGCTGAAGGAGGAATGTCACACCTCAGCTCCCCCTGATTTTGGGTGTCTCCTTTTTTTCCAGATGACTCGGGACCAGCGGCACTGGCTGCCTGGAATGATGGAGGGTCCAATCCCAGTGGAATCTCCAGCACTCAAGTTTTCTATCTGCTTACAGTGACTTAACTAACAGTTTGAGCCCTTCCATAGCTGGGGCAGGGGAGAGGGGACCAAACCTGTTTTCTTCACGTGCATTCTTGAGGACATTTCTGGGGAAGGATGGGAGCTGTTCACTGCACGGGGAAGGGCTGAGGTAAAGGAGATGCTTCTGGATGATTTTCAGCACCTGAGATCCGAGCTGCCCCTGTGCCTCATATCCCTTTCTCCTTGCCCTGGAAGCATCAGATTCCTTCTCCAGGCGGATCCTCTTCATGCAATATCAGGTTACTTCTTTGGGAAGTGTCTCTGTAATCAGCTTCTGGGAGGAGCTGTGAGAGCTCTGTTACACAAAAGGGGGTGGGAGGGTGATAGTTCAGACAGAGCAGCTTTGGGAACGAGTTAAACGAGTTAAATTTTGCAGGATTGGCAATTACTGGCATAATCCAGGTCATTCATGGGTTTACAGACGTGTTAACAAATGAAAGGGGCCACAACCCAAAGGAATATTTCTCCAAAAGCTGCCAAAAGGGCTGGGGATGCCTAGACTCTGCCCAGCCCCAGCTGTGAGTTCACCAGGGACATGTGTGACATCTGCCAAGCTCTGGATTTTGTGATACCTGAGGAAGAGCCAGATGTCAGCCAGGGACTGTCATGGAGCAGTTGATGACTGGAAAAGGGGGACCCCAACCCCTCTTGACTATGATTCAGGGCAGCCCTGGATAATCCTGGAGTTTCATTCCCTTGGCTGGTACTCAGCTGGCAGCTCTCCTGCAGCCCATTGTTAGGTGGATATTTGGGATCTGATTGTGTGGGACCAAAGGTGAATGTGTCAGGAGGTGGGTGGTGGTGCTAAGTCAGTGAAAACTGCTCGCCAAGTGCTTCTGTCTGTGGCCTTTCCTTGGAAACTGGCAGCACATCCTTAAATCCCACTTCCTCCCAAGCTGGTAGTGCCTTTGGAGAACCCGAGGGATTTGCCCTGCTGGCAGGGAGGATCCCTGTGGCACCTTTAGGGTGAAAAAGTAGGATAGTTGCCTTTAGGTTGAATATTTAGAATGTCTTTGGCTCCTTTCCTTTGGCTTGCAAATCCCCTGTGGATCAGGGGCACCGAGGACTCTTGGAGAAGGGACAGGGATGTGCTGCTGGGGGCTGGCAGATGCTGCAGAGTCTCTCCCGAGGCAGCTGAGGGAGTGCTGTGATCCTGTGCAAGTGGCCACGTTTTTCTGTTCAGGACAGGTGAGGTTTCCTGGAGAAATCCCAGCCCCGTGGCAGCTCTGTCTCATGTGCACAAAGGATTTTAAACTGCATACATATATCTATTTTTTTAATAACATTGCCATGTGCACACAGTGCTTGTGTGTGCCCTGTTTTCCTGTCCTTTGGATCGTTTCACAGCTATTTTTGGATGTTCCCTGCTTGTAGCAGCTGCAGATGGGAGCAGGCAGAGGTTCCACGTGGGAATCGCTGGGATGGCTCCACCCGGCTGCAGCTTCCCTGGGGATGATCGGAGCTCTGTGATCCATGGGCAGGGATTTTTCCTGATCCTGCAGGGCTGCACGGGCTGGTGATTCCCTGGCTCTTTTAGTCCCTCTGGAAAGTTGTTCCTTGTGCTGTTGAAACCAGAAGAGCCTGACTGTCCCAGTCCAGTGCCATTCTCAGTGTTTGACCAGCACATTCCTCATCCTTCCTTTACCTGGAGTGATGACCCTGAGCATTCCTTTGGCTCCCCTCTTGTTGGGCAGGTGGGGTTTGCAATTCTCAAGTTTCCTCACCTCACAGAAGTGGAATATCTGTTTAATGTTAAATTATTCAGATCAGAGGGAACCTCAAGCAGTAGGTCTTGCCCGGAAAATAATTCTGCTGGAATTAACTGTGGCTGGAGCAGGTATTTGTGTTTGAGCAGGGAAAGGCATGAAGCAGGTGATGTGTGCCTGGGCTGAGCTGGGCTGTGCAGGTACCAGGGAAGGAAACTGAGGTGCCAGCCTGGAATTCCTACACCACTTCCATGTTTTCAGAGTCTTGCTGGTCGCCTTTAAAGGGTGCAGGGTACAAAGGTGCTTGTGAGGCTGTCACTGTTCCTGGTCTTGGGCTGAAAACAGGTTGGAGCTGTTTCCACTTCCATCCTGCCCCTCAACAGCAGTTGGCATCTGGGTTTGCCCTTTGCATCCCTGCTCTGCTCCAAGTCCTTGGAGGCACCGAGTGACAGATCTGAGACTCCTTGGGGTGCTCAGCATGATCCCATTTCTCTGGGAAGAATCAGCTGGATCTGGCACTTCCTGCAGTGTGAGCAGTGCCAGGCCAGGCCAGGGGGTTTTGGGGTGGCTCCTGCAAATAACAGCAGCTTTGAACACCTCACGTGACATTTCCACAAAGGAGCAGTTCAGGTGTTCCTTCCATTACTCTTTCAGTTCCTCCACGTGTATTTGATACCCTCGTTTTAGGTCTCTTTGCCTCAGTTGGATCTTCCAGCAGCTTTCCAGTTGTGGCTTTTCAGGCTAAACACAGGAATGCAAACAGACCCGTCAGTGCCTGGTCCTGGGCAGGCTGAGGCCTCACCAGCCACTGCTGCACTTTTCTTTCTCCTGAATCAATCAGGGTGTTGGTGGAGGTTCCATGTGCCTGTTGGTCTGCAGGATTCCTGCTCATCCCACCAAAAGGAGCCAACGGACCACGACCTGTAGCAGTCACCACACAACAGTCTGCTCTGAATCAATCCAAAGCCAATTTTCCAAAGTTTACATAATCCCTCTGTTATCTTGGAGGCTTTCTGGGGTGCTCTGCTGCTGATACCAGCCTGCCCAAACGCACTGGGCCATCTGCAGGGTTAATGGGATCCGTGGGAGCGGGGTGAGATCAGCTCTCGTGGTTTTGTTCTGTGCCTGGGATGGGACCTGCAGCCCTGTGAGTGCTGGGAGAGGGGCCTGTGGTGGGAGTCAATAAACAGCACTTGAGCACGTTGTTGTCTGAGCTCCCCAAGGAGCAGCTCGTGTTTTGCCCTCCTGGAACTGCTGATCTGTCTTTAAACAGCCACTGGCCCTGTATCGAGCCATGGTTTTCTTGTCATTGCAGCATCCCCTCCCTTGTACCTGGTACCACTGGAATAAAGCATTCCAGCCCACCCATCCCTCCCTGTGTGCTGCTGAGCCCCTGGGGTGAGGCTGCTGTGGAGAACTCGTTGATTTATGGGGTGCTTTGGGTTTTCCCCCTGCCTTGCTCCTTCTCCCAGGGCTGCTGCTCACCTTGTGTCCTGTCTGGAAGTGTCCAAACCCAGGTTGGATTGAGCATGGAGCAACCTGGTCTATGGAAGGTGTCCCTGCCCATGGCAGGGGGCGGAATGAGGTGAGCTCTAAGGTCCCTTTCAAACCATTCTGTGACTCCCTGATTCTCCGATCATCTCTGGGTGGGTTTCAGTTTTCTGAAGTCTCCTCCTTTCTCCCTGTTCTCACATTAATCCCTTTTGTTGTACAGAAGACCAAATAAGGTCCCTGTGAGGCCAATTCTGGCCTCAACAGCAGCAGAACCAAGTTTCATTTTGCTTATTTGGAAGTGAGGAAGGAGATGCTGTTCCCTGGATTGTAGAATCTTGGAATCTCCTGAGTTGGAAAGGACCCACAGGGATCATCGAGTCCAACTCGATGGGGTGCACAGACACCCCAACAGTCCCACCTTGGGCATCCCTGGGAGCAGTGTCCAAATGCTCCTGGAGCTCTGGCAGCCTCGGGGCTGGGGCCATTCCCTGGGGAGCCTGGGCAGTGCCAGACCCTCAGAGTGAAGAACCTTTTCCCAATCTCCAGCCCTAAACCTCCCCTGACACAGCTCCAGCCCTTCCCTCAGCTCAGAGATGGAGCTGCCCCTCGGGAGTGTCCCCTGAGTCTCCTCCAGGCTGAAATGGGAATGTCCCGGCTCCTCCCTGCAAGGAATTAGTTCCAGAATAAAACCAAGGGCGTTCCTGACTCACACCCGCTTCTCATCCTGTTGTGTGGATCAGTGGCACTGAGAAAACAGAAGCCACGTTCCCCCTGTCCCCCTCTGCCACCTTCCCCGTGTCCTGGAGCAGCTGAAGAGCAGAGGGGGTGTTGTTTGCTCCACGATTTCATCTCGTTACTGGTGGGGTTCTGGGGCACGGGGGATCCCTGTAGGTGGCACTCACAGACCAGACTTGCAGCTGCCAGGGCACTGCCGGCACCTGGGGAAGCTGCAAATAAATCCTGGTGCCTTTCAAGGCACATCTGCTTCCTCCAGCAGCTCTCTGGGATGAGCTGGAAGTGCCTTTTGGGGGTTTTGTCTCTCTTGGCGTTGGGGTGAGGGAGCAGCAGGTTTTGGGGAGGCTCCTGGGGAGCTGTTGGGGTGTCTCTCTCAGGAGCAGGGGAGGGTCTTGCCCTGGCTCCACTTGAACCAGGTTCCACCTGGCCCTGTCAGGACTTGTTTGGGAAAGATTTTTATGATTCTGGGCTTGACAAGGTTTTGGGATGCCCTGGTTTGGTGGAGTGATGCCACCAGCTCCAGCACAGACATGAACAGCAGCACCCCGGGGGCACCCTGCCTTTCCTGAGCCAAATTAACTGCAGCAACATGGGCACGACACCATCACCCTGTCCTGTTAGATTGGAGATGAGGGAAAATTCCTTCCCAAAAGGAAGGGATCCAGCCTGGCACAGGCTGCCCAGGGTGTCACCACCCCTGGAAGCGTTCAGAAAGCCCCTGGGTGTGAACCTGGGGACAGGGTTTCATGGTGCCCTTGGCAGTGCTGGGGGAATAGTTAGACTTCATGATCTTGGGGGTCTTTTCCCATCTAAAAAAATTCCATGATTTTGTGCTTTCAGGCCCTGTCCGCGTGCGGTGCTGGGAGCTGCCACAGGATGTGAACCAAGTGCTCGTTCCTTTTCAGGCTCAGGGGGCTGTTACCCCAATTAGCACTAATTGCTGATGCCCGTGGTGCTGGACCAGCTGCAGCTGTGCTGTGCTGCCTCTCTCTGTTCCCTGCTCTGTGCCATCCCCTCTTCTTGAGCTCTCAATGGGGACAGGCTCCGGCTGCTGCTGGCTGGGATTCCGGTCACAAACACAAGCTGGCGGCATGGATCTGCTCGGAATTTATTTTAAACTCGAGGTAAAGTGCTCTTGATGCTTTGGATGCAAATTTCCTTTGCCTGGAATGGGAGCTGCGGGGCCGCTGGAGTGCCAGGGAGCTCTTTTGATTCCAGAGCCTGTTTGCTGCTGTGGCTCCTCGCACTGCGCTCCGTGGAGTGCGAAATCACCTCTGCGGCACAGCCCGGGGAGGAGCACTGCCAGCACAGAGCTCTTCCCTCTCTTCTCTGTCCCCTGCTTTTAATGAGGGTTTGTGCCAAAAGTTGGGAGGTTTTAGGTTTTGGTGTGTTTTTTTTGATTTTTTTTTCTTATTTTTGTTATTTTTGGGGTTTTTTTTGGTGTTTTTTTGGTTTTTGTGGGTTTTTTTTGTTTTTGTGTGTGACAGCAGCCTGTGTGTGATTTTTCCAGTCACTATCTGGGAGAAGAGATGGTCCAAGTCCCTTCAGCCCCCCCCAAAAAGGAAAAAGATGAAAATATAGACTAGGTAAAGGATGCTCCCTTCATGGATTTTGGAGTTCTTTCTACTGGATTTCTCCTGTACCAAAAGAACCTTGGAGTTTTTTAGGTGGCATTAACCAAGGCCAGGTTGGATGGGGTTTGGAACAACCTGATCTAGTGGAAGGCATCCCTGCCATGGCAGAAGGTGGAAATGAATGAGCTTTAAGGTCCCACCAACCAAAACTCTCCTGGTATTATCTCCGTGGGCAGCTCTGGGTCACAGATTGTCCCCGTGAACACGCCGGGCTCTCAATCCCACCAGGGCCAAGCCCTGGATGGGTGAGCAGATGAGCATGGTCAGAGGAAGATGTCACAGTTTTTGTCCCATTTATTGCTCCTACACTCACTGGGTGGCTCTGGGTACTTCGGGGTGGCTTTGGATGGCTCTTGGAATTTCCCCATAAACGTTTTCAGCTGCACTCACAATTCTCCTGTGCCTGCATCCATCTGGGGCTCATTGTGGGCAGGGGCTGGGTGGTCTTCCTCATCTTCATTCCATGGACATTGGCATTCCAAAATGTGTCTCTAGGTTGGTGTGGAATCGGGTGGCACATTGGGAAGGAAGCTGGGGATGTTTGAAAACCTGCTGCAGAGTCTGTGATGTCTCTTCTGTTCCACTCAACAAAGCACCTCTACACAACAAGCAGATTTTCCTGTATCAGAAATTACCTTTACTTAGTTGGCTTTTTGTCTAAATCCTCCTTCTGATCTTTATTTTTTCCCTTCCATCATGGAAAGGTGAATGGAAGTGGCACTTCAGCCACCAAAGCCTTTCCTTTAGAATCGCTGCTTGGTTTTTGTTTTACAAATTTTCCAAGGGGGCTTTGCAGGGGAGGAGGAAGGAGCAAGCGCTTTTCAAGTGTCTCTGGGGAATAAAAGTATAAAGGACATGAATGATCAGAACTGTGCTGGCAACAGAACAATATTTTATTTTTGAGTACCAGAGCTAATTGGGGAAGGAATTCACGTGACAATTTTTGCAATCTAAGGATAAGTAAACATGAAAGGGGCTCTGTGTTCCTGAACGTGCAATTGCAGTGGGAAGGGGTGCGGGGGAGGGGGGGAAGAGCCCAAAAATTAAATTGGAGACAATGTCTTGGATGTTACAATCCCATGTTTGCTTCTCATGATGCTGGATCAAAGTCACGAGCCGAAGCTCGTGTCCAGGGATACCTGTTGGGGGGATGGCACTTCCATGGGCTGGAATTGCCAGGAAAAGAGGATTTTAGGTCTGATTTGCTGGCAGCACTTCCACAGGTTGTGGGATTGCTGTGGATGTGAATAGATCCTGCTTCAGCAGGGCTTGGAGAGCCCCTGCCCATGGAGAGGTGTTTGTAGACAATTACCACCAATTAACGTGGCATGTGGGGAATATGGGGGTGAAGGGTTAGAGCAGCTCACCAGGGGGTGCAACAAGGACTGGGAGTTCCCTTCCCACCCAGACCACGTTGGGATTTTGTGGTCACCTTATACCAGGGTGGTTCCTGGTGTGAAGAGGTTCGTGATGTCACATCCAGTGCTGGGAAGTGGAACTGAAATTGCTCTGAACTGGTGCGTGGGCAACCTCCTCATTCCCTCTCCCACTGGAAGCATCTCCCAGTGCCCGTGTGATTCCTCCTGCCCCGCTGGAATCCCCTGGGAATTGCTGTTGGCAGCACCTGGACATCCTCAAAATGCTTCCATGTGCCGCATAATTCAGAGCCTGGAAATGGGGGTGTTGAGATTTCAGGGCTGCAGACAGAAGAGTCCATTCCAGGGTTATGCTCAGCCCCTGCAGAAGTACCAGGAGGTTTGTCCTGCTCCATGTGAGGCGAAGGCAGAAGGTTTCCCTGGAGAGGCTCCAGCCCCTCCCTGGAGCATTCACTCTGCCCCACTGCGCTGCTGTTACGTTCAGGTGGTTAATTACTCTCGCTCTTTTAAAGAATAAAACCTCATGTACTTAAAATAATCCAAATTATTTCATTGTTCAGCCCTAGCTGAGCCCAGCCACCCCCGCTCCTGCAGAACTGCTGGAAAAGCTGCTCCTGACAGGGAAAAACTGATGGGCATTAATGCTGTGAGAAGCAGCTGAGGGGATTGAGGATTGGGGGGCATGGTGCTGCTCCAGCAACCCCCAGGTGCCTCTCCAGGACATCCCAAGGATCAAGTCCAATTCCAGTCGATGTATGGCAGGGCTTGTTGCAGTAGGACAAGGAGTGATGATTTTAAACCAAAAATGCTGATTTTGACTGGATAAAAGGAAGAAGTTCTTCCCCGTGAGGTGGAGAGGCTCTGGTAGAGATTTCCCAGAGAAGCTGTGGCTGCCCCATCCTTGGAAATCTTCAATGCCAGGCTGGAGAGGGCTTAGAGCAAGCTGGAATAGTGGAAGGTG